AAATAAACACAGAACTTTTATAAAACTTCCGAAGAATTCATTTGGAAGCCATGGCCTTCTATTCTGGGGAGGAGGGGGGGGGGGGGGGGACAGTTTACTAAATATACTCAATTCGTCGAGATCTTCATTACAGGTAGTAGCAATAGTGGATTAACAACTGCTCCTAATTGAGCTAACATGCCTCAACAAATGAACATGCACTGGGTAAACTCATATTTAAGTGCCGAACCAGCTCAGGAATTGGCACTAAGTCATTGCTTATTGTTTTCAAAATATATGGTTTTAGTGTCTGGCATCGCTTATCTCCAACGGAATTGAGGTTATTTCCACAGTAAAAGCTATCGTTACAACCTAAATGAATTAAGGACAAGTTGTTAAAAACATGAAATCGTTTGACTATGACAAAGCGTATAGGTTTTCTAGTTGACAATGCCATTATACTGGCACTAAGCTTCTGGAAATGTGGCTCTTGAATCAGTGCCACTAGCAACCGAATCTTTGAAACATTGGTAAACTAGTTCCCAAATTTCAATCTGCTCTACCACTCTGACAAAATCCAAGTGAAGATCATTCCGTTCTATGTGACGTATAGAATTTTTCATCCTATCATAAACATGCTCTGCAAGTGTTCTGAAGTTATAGTGCGTTTGCGCCTTGGCAAATGAATCTAACTGTAAAACGTGTTTGACGATAGTTTCCAAGTTAGCACGTATTGTTTCCATAATCTCTCTCGTGCTTTATCGAAGGAACTTGCTAATTGAATTGCACTATTTGTATTAGTAAATATGGAAAGTTCTAAGCTATGTAATTGCTTATTAGGCTCAGAAGCAGATTTCTGAATTTCCAAAACTCGAGCACTCAATGGTGCATCTTTTATCGTGTTAAAAATTCCTATTTTTCAATTGAAAAGTAAACCGAGGATACCAGCAACATCAACAATTATCGGTATGAATCATGCACTGCGGTGATTATGATGAGTTTTCGTAGATGCATTTTTAGAAAATAACAAGTAATTATTAGCCGAATTTAAGAAATCCAAAATAGAAGAGTGACTAGCAATTTCTTCTTGTTTAATTTTGGCATGGATCGATTCCTGATATTCAAGATACAAACTCAACTTGTCAACGTACTTCATAGGTAAAAATGAACATACCTATTCAGTAACTGGTACACTCACTGCTAAACCAAAAATGTCATTTACTTCATAGTAATACTCAACTCGGCTGAAAACGACTCCTCATTCTTCATGTACAATCAGATATTGTTTACTAAGTAGTTGGTTGTATATACTATCTTTTCGTTCAGCATTTACGAAATGATTACTTGGAAAAGAATGAATATTTGTAAATATATTGAATAGAATGATGATAAGGGATGATATTGACTGATGACGTACAGTCAATTGCATAATGATCGTTGGTACTATTTTTTTTGTACATGGTAAAAAATTTCTACTGTTCCACAGTCAAAAGATCACTTATCGATTAAAGAATAATTTTGAAAAATTTGTATGTGTTACAACAGTAGGGATAAGCAGATACAATAAGAAAATCAACAGTGAATAGAATGATGAAATGAGCTCATATCGCAAAGTTTATATACAATTTTTCACATAAGAAAAGAAATGTTTAATACAATTATTGAGCACACCAAACTGTACAAGATGCTGTAAGAAGATTAACGTTAAAGGATTATCGCCACTGATTCATTATTGCGAAGTGCGACAAAGTTATATGTTGTTGGTTATAAACAATTATCTCGTCATGTATTATCTTTTCGCTATGTACACCAATTAAGAATCAAAGAATGACAACAGCACTAATTCGAAAGTGAACATCTACGATTCACACATATACACAAAAGGCACGTGTTACGGTAGAACGAAAAGAGATAAATAAAGCAACTTTTTCTATTCTATGTGTGTTACTTGGTGCATTTGAAAAAAAGGCGAACATCTTGAAAATAGTATAAAGATAATTTTTTGAAACAAATTAATTTGCTGATTCAAAAATATATATAAGTGCTATTTTTTTACATGATAAAACATATAGTAATCTTTTGTATATAAAGGAATCTTAACATCATGCTAAAAAGTCAAGTATCGACAGTCAAAGTTCAAAGAATGATGTATAAAATGCATATTAACAATAAAATATGTGAATCAACTCAATCAATCACATGGAAAACGATTCAAGATTTATAACAAAATCAAGAACAATAATAACGTGATCGTTCCCGTTTTTTCTATCATTTACGTCAAAAGAGAAAACAACGTTGTCTTCAACATGGTCCTATCCCTACACGTCATCAATAACAAATAACAGAAATCCAAAGAAACAATCAAGAATAGACAAGAGACATACTTACTCCACAAATAAACAGTTCATTGAAAAATAGAGATAAATTGATCACAGCAATCGTTGGTTTATCAATTGCTCGCAACATATCGATCAAAAATATAGAAAATGAAACAGATGAAATGAAATTTCATGTGAAATCAGGTAATGATTGCGCTGAAACTTTAGCTTGATTAGAATCAGATAATGGCCGAATGTTCATGAACAATGTTAATTAATGAATATTTATCATTGGCACAAATGATATTCACCGAGTAGGTGCCGATAAAATTGTCCGACGCATTGTATACACAATTGAATCGGCTCGATACTTTTACCATGGCATAAATATAAATTTGGCAAATGCTGCAACAACGCACTCGTAAAACTTGGCTCTTTCAAGATGGTGAGTCAGCTTCTAGTGCAATTAGTATAATCCTGTCATTATCAACACTAGTTTTTGATACTTGTTCGTCAGAAGAAGCGTTAGGTACAACGGTATCTTGAATGAATTCCAGAATGTTTGGCGGTAAGTAAATAGTCAAAAGCTTTGGCGAAGTTTCCTTCTTTTTAGATCGATGAAGAGAAACTGCATTCTTACAACATTTAAGAAGTGAACCATTACTTGCTTTTTGTCCTTTTTCCTGCAAAATATGAACCACTTTATTTACAATATAATCTATCTCTGGTGAGTGTTTTAATACCTCCATAGACTCGTACATCGAAACATCAATTTCGATTTTCAATGAAATGTTCTGTAAACATATGCGTCTTAAAAAATAAAATAAGTCTATAGATAAGTCATATTGTTTAATCTGTACGCACACGTCCTACTGGTAATAGTACTATTGGAATTCTACGTACGACAAACGCCTTTTCGCTTATTTTTATGTCTATTATTTCTTTGAATCAGATCCAACCAACATTTGGGTTTATTCAATATCGAAATAATGAACATTTAAGTCTAATTCTTTTAATTCAAAAGAATACTAACGAAACCGGTATAGGGTGTCCAGTAAATGACTAGAGTTAGAAAAAATTGCATATCTCTCTGCTACGGCTCGAGCAAACAGGCTGATTTTTCTACCAATAATAGAAGCATGTTCACACTTTAAATCCATACAGACAAGATTAGAAAGAGCCTTTGTTAAGTACCACCAACGACCTCAACAAAAAAATTTTACTTTTTCACAGATAAGAAAAAAAACAATAGACTTAACAAAGGATCTCTCTAGGCATGTCTTTATGAGTATAAAGCTTGGACATGCCTCTATCATTGATAAAAGAATCAGCTCTTTTGCTCGAGCCATAGTGAAGATATTCAATTTTTTTGCGGCAAAGTGACTTTTGCGCTACTCCGTATAGTGTTCTTTTCCTATCTGTGAAAAAGTAAAATTTTTTTTGTTGAGGTCGTTGGTGGTACTTAACAAAGGCTCTTTCTAATCTTGTCTGTATGGATTTAAAGTGTGAACATGCTTCTATTATTGGTAGAAAAATCAGCCTGTTTGCTCGAGCCGTAGCAGAGAGATATGCAATTTTTTCTAACTCTAGTCATTTACTGGACACCCTATATTTTCCAGTTTTATCCATTTTCAGATATAATTGAGATAACTTTCAATAAACTGTCAATGGAAAAGACTTTATCTTCATTTGATCTTGTAGTGACATTAGATGTTGATAAAAAAAAATTCTTATCTTATTAGACAATATGCTTCAATGTATCATTTAAATTTAGATGTCCTGATTCTCGACCGAAATGATTAAAATAAAAATTTCATTGTTCGATCGTACACCATCTAGTTCTCTAGTTATTTTCGAAGTATTACCGTGGAATATACAGGAGAAGATAACATATTGAAAGTTACTCATCAAGCTCCTGTGAATGATAGTCATTCGTTTAGCGTAGAAAAAATGGATATTATTATTAGTCGAAGATATAACACATGTGGTATCAGACATTCCTATGAAGATCCTATTTCGAATGAACTTAATCAAAATATGTACCGACGGAATAAAATAGAAAAAGATAAATGATATTTACTATTAAAAGATACCTATCATATTACAAATTCTGCTTATATATTTCAAGTATTATATTTAATAGTTCATATTATAATATCTCAAGTGCTGATGATGGCTGTTAATATAGACCGAACATTGAATACCTATACTCGTATATACATAACTATAGAATGAAAAGAAAACATAAGAGTAAAGAAAAAGTTTGCTTTTTTCATCTTTTTCAAATGAAAGTATAGCGTCAAATACAAGTCAATTGTTGGTCTATATATACGTATAAAACTCTCTTCATTATTGTATCTCATATATTTTAATTAATTAAGTTTATTTTTCCTTCTGCAAGTTTCATGTATCGAATAGGAAATCATTTGCAAGGTTATTAAATTTAAGTCATTGTTCCTTGTAATCGCATAGACTAGATTGTTTTACTATAAATATAGCTAGAGCTGTCTATTCAAATAGAATTTGAATGAAAAGATACGTGTTGATTCGCTGATTCATGTATACGTCAGTGAGAGACAAAATTGAAATATGTTTCAATCGATATGAATAGAAACAAATGATAGTCTATAGTTATAGAGAAGAGAAAAAAAAGAATAACAGCAGTAAATAATATACATTATCTGTTTAAAACGACAACATTAGATGGACGTGATTACAAACGTAAATGTGGGTACTGGTGATATTCATCCCATAGTTTTAGCCACATTTGGTGTTGCATCTTGTTTTGCTGTTATTATTGAACTTGAAAATAAGGTTTTCATTCACCACACTAGTTCTGAGCACTTTAAGATTTCATCAGGACGTTGAATTGATGATGCACATAATTTTTTAATGATGATATTTAAGAATGTCTATGATTTAGACATGGGTGCAATTATTAAAACTGTATTTATAATTGGGGGTTGGAATGATATGTTTTATATGGCATTACGAAAGCAAATTGATTTAGTACGTAATCATTGTAAAATTAAAATGAAACAAAATAATTCGTCATCACCTAACAATTTTGAGTTCTTTATAGGTAAAATTATGCTTAACTTAATTGGTTTTAATATGCCAGTAAAAAAATCAAATGATAAAAATAAAGAAGCAGGTGATGACGACAGTCCAAATGATTATGTCGTTGATGCTACTATCATATACGATCGATCATTAAATCCTCATACATTTATCATTGGTCAATATGCTGGTCGTGAACATCAAATGGGTACTAATCGAAATGATTCATTATTACAAGTTATATATGAATTTGATGCAATATTGAAAAACTTCCAAGCATTTATATGCGCGAATGCTCGTGGATCGCCTTATTATACTGATTTATTAAATCAAGTGTTATTGAACGTTAACAGTCAATTGTATATTTATGATTCTTTCCTTGATGATAATTTTAAAACAAAAATAGATACTTTATTATCACGAGTTAAAAAAACAACAATCTTATACGAATAATAAAAACTTTTGCACTTTTGTGCTTTTTTTTTCGTTCCATATTTTTATGTGTGATAGCTGGCATGTGAACGCTAGTTTGTAGAGAAGCAGAAACAGGGAGAACTTATTCCAAAAAATTTGGGAGGATGTGATAGCAAATTGGAGGATTAATGGAGGAGTTACCTTTTATTGGAAAAAATCATTTCTATAAAATTTCAAGCGTATGAATCAGTTCCGGATAGTAATTGGAATGTGCTTAAGTTTTGTTGTATATATATTTAACACAATATATAGCACATTTTTCAAAAGAGCAGTCATCTTGGATTTTTAACGATACAAGACTTGCTCTTTTATTCTGTATAGATTTGCTGTCTAATTTGGCACAAAATAACGTGTGCTAATCAACACATATATGTAAATCTGAAATTATTGATTAATACATTGTTGTGAACAAATTATGCGATAAAAGTTTAGTGAAAAAAGCTGCAGACTATACGACAGAAACTAGCTGACAAATTTTCAAAACCGTAGCATTACTGTTTTAAGGAGACATTCGTTAACAGTCTAATTGCAAGTATTTTATAATCTTGAGGAAACATATTAATAATGGAAGGTCAAGCGAAATAGAGATATGTCACATTTTTTGAGACACAATTTGAAATCTAACAGGTTTCTTGAAGTGTTATGATATTGACTGTTTCTTTATTCAAAGAAAGAAATTATCTGAATTATTTAAGTCAAACCATGGGACAATAGAAAACAAACCTTATTCAATTACTTGTGTAAATTGTAACAATGGTTACATTTCTTAGAATTCTGAAAATGTCGATCGTATCGTAATCTGATTTAATAATTCACAGGTACAAATGCATAGAATTCTGATTTTGCTTCGAACATTTATCGATATTCTTAATCTATTAAAAATGAAGAGTAATTATTTTTATTCATTTGATGGATATTTTTTTCAATTATACGCTCAAAAGAAAGAGAAACGTTTACAAACCTTTATTGACATAGGATGTTAGCAATACGAGTCAAAATTTAAAAGACATTGATATTTTCTCTTGGATTAAAATTAATATGATCATATCTGAATGTAATAACTATTCAACCCTGCTGCATTGTGTATGAGAAGAGAGCATATTCAATTCTCACTTTATTTGAGAAGCCGTTGAAACTGTGAATAGTATTCTGCGTGGGTCAATTTAGAATGGTTTTAGTAAAAAAAGTATTTCTCTATGCTTATGTGCAAGATCAGATTGAGAATCATAGTATCAACAAAATACTACTCTGTACGGTATAGCAATCTAGTTTATCGCATATGAACGTTTCCATCACAGTAAAGGGATCAATATAGTATTGAATTTCGTTTAAGCAAGAAAAGGTGCAGTGTCAAAGACTTTACTCATCGAAACCGTTGAAATCAAGCCTATGTTTTATCATCCGGAATAAATAATAACTTTATTCTTTCTGTTACGATATTCATTAAATAATTAAGTTGAAGTAAAATTCTTTATTATTACCGACATACAACGTCAAGAAATAAAATGTTAAACATATTACAACATAATAAACACAACCCTCTAGCAATAACATATATCTGACACGAAAAACAACCAATCAGACAACAAAATTATTATATCATACCACTAAAACAAAACCAACATAACAATAATGCACACACTGTTTAAAAGAAAAAGAACATCAAACGTCTATTCTAATTACATCAAAAAATATATACAAAAAAAAAGAAACTTTTTTTTATCAGATGTTTAGCAACCATCAAAGCGGTGATTCATTATTAAGAAAAAGAATTTTCTTTAATGTTTGTGAACGATAGCTACGTGATTTTTGACGTCGTTTAGAAAATGAATCCATAACAGTTTGAGCAACATTTGCAAAAGCAGATGATGATGTTGATATTGGTTGAATAGATGTTGATGTATATGATGTTATAGGTACAGGTTCATCTAAACGTTGAGATGGTATATATTGATGAGGTAAATAACGACGATGATAACTTGATGTTTGATTTTGATTATATGTTATTGGTAATTTTATTTCACGAAAAAGAACTTCTGCACAACGATATAAAAAGAATAAATCACCCTAAAATAATAGAAATAATTTTTTTTAGTTAGAAATTTTCTATTTTTATTCTCTTACATTATGTCGCCATATACCAGGACGTTTGATATGATAAATTTTAGCTAATTCATAGATATTTAATGTACCTTCAACTTCCATTTGTTCATTCATTGTATATAAAGCACAAAATGTTGCTGAAAATAAAACCTATTGTATATAAATATAGTTAGTAAAAAGAAAAAAAAACTAACCAGCTCGATGACCACCAAAAAGATCATGAACAACAATTGGACCATTTGATTTAACATTCATACGTAATTTTCTTATTGTATTTATAAGATTAAATGATGCTTTAAGAGGTGAACATGCATCTGGCCAATAAGTACTTGAAACAATTTTTACTCGTAATTCATAATCCTCCTTTTTATAGAAAAATAAAAGAATATTAATGAATATTATTATTTTTTCTTACTTCAGTTGATTGAAGTAAAAAATCTCGATAAATATATTCACATTCAAAACGTTCATCAATTAAACATACACTAAAACTTCCACAATCCATTATTTGATTTGGTAATGGCCAAAAATCAGGCACATCAGGCTAAAAAAGCAGAAAAGAAGAATAAAAATTTTTTGTAATTCAAAAACTTTTTTTACTTGAGATTTTTCATCAGCATATAATGAAACAATGATACTTGTATTTGTATTCCAAATCATTTGCCAAAAATCAGTTATAGTATTCATCATAGGATGTTGAGTTATTATAAATTCATCAACACGATGACAACCCTAAAGAAATTTTCATAGAAATATATCAAAATAAGAAAATAATTATTTTTTATGACAAAACAATGTTATATATACTCTTCCGTACAACACAATTAGTACCTAGATCAAGAAATAAGGGATAGTTTTCGGCTTGAATTATTGACCTCAGTTTGAAGACTACAGTAGAAAATTTAGACTTCATCAATATCATACAGTGTGATACACATATTGATAACTAGTAAGGTATTTCTTCGACATATTATGGTCAACATCTTGTTTTCGTTACAAGTAACAATTAGAAATTATATTTTTTAACCTTCTCTATTTAGTGTCGTTTCAATTTTTTTATGATTTATGATATTATTCGTTCAAACCAATAGAACATTTAAATACGATCTTTGAGCCTAATTCTAGCCATTGTCTAGTATCAATATTAGTTCTGCACATGTTGCAAAAGTACGAAAATGAAATTATTTTTAATAAGAATTTCAAGTAAATTTTGCTATATTCTTAGAAAGATACTGATCAGAATTAAAAAATAAATTTCGTTCTAGATGTTTCTTCTTGAGAGATACTTGTAGAATTTATAATTAATACTATTCAATGAAAAAATCATTTCGTTTCATGTAGATTTGATACATCCAACTGATTAAAATTGACAAGATTCATAAATAAAATAATTATTTTATTCTATTTTTCATTATTTTTCCACTATTATAAACGATTTAGCTTAACATTATAACATCAATTTAGTTTATCTAATACTTACATGCATATATGATGCATTAATATATTCTCCACCAGCTGGTTTTCTATCAGTTGAAAGTATAATTCGACATGGATTATAAGGTAAAATTGCTTGTGTACGATTTTTTGATAAATTTTCTTCCATTTGTCCAGATGATAATTGATAATCATTAATTTTATTTTGTAATATTACTAATTGAAATTGTTTATCTAAACGTGTTAAATTAGAATCTTTATCAAAATAATCCAACATTTGTATAATATAATCAAAATTATGTTCATTCAATTCTAAATCATTATAACCAATATTTAATAATTGTATTGCTTCAAGTAAAACATCATATATAAATATAAATTGTTCTTCAGTTTGAACAAGAAAATTTCGTTGTTGACGAATATGTTTTAAAAATGATGGAATATTTAATGAATGTTGTTCACGAATTTTCTTTAACATTGTATCAACAACAATATATGTTCCTGTACGACCAACACCAGCTGAACAATGAACAACAATTGGTCCACCTGTATCAGGATTACAAGCTGATGAATGACGAATAAATGAAAGAACCGGTAATGTAAATAATGGTACACCATGATCAGGCCAATCAGTATAGTGAAATTGATGAACAAGACGTTCATAGCCGATACGCTATATAAAATTAAAATTTATCAATTATTATTATAATATATTACACGAAAGAGCTAATAATCAATGTCAACAACTGTTATATATTTCTAAAAGGAACGCTATGAAATTAATATTAGGAAAAAATTTTGTATACTAGAGTTTTTAATTTCATTTGATCATAAAGAAAACGAAATCTAAATAGATGAGATGGATTTTTAAATAAAAATATATTTAAGAGTTAACTGTTGGTAATTATAACTTGTTTAAGGATGTCTAATTTCAGTTTACTGATCATCTACTCAGTGTAATTAGTACATAGTAGAACCGCTCATCGGGTCTGAAACAAAACTAGTAGGCTTAAGAGCATACTGAAACACACTGCTATGAAAAGGAAATACTTTGATAGAGTTGGTCTCTGAATGTTGTAATGTATGCGGATATCGTTGTAGTCAGTGGCTTGCTGTTCAGTATTCACACTAATATTTCACATCCCTGAACTTGTCTCTCTCATCAATAAACGAAAGAATGAGTTGATGAACTAAATTGTTTGAAGACTGAAAACTAACATTTGAAATAAATGAATTTCTTATATTGAAAATTTTGTTCTATGCTAGTGGAAGATAAATACCATATACTTGATTTCTGAAGAAAGGAGATGAATGTTTCCGTACGATTAAAAAAATTATTTATACATATATTTTATAAATTACCTTTCTATTAGTTTTACATCGAATAGCAAATATTCTTTTAACATAATAAGCAAAAGAAACTGTTGTGATTAATGATACTT